GCCGCACGCTCGAGCAACGTGTGAATTTCTCAGCGGGCCCGGCGATCCTCGGACGTTGCGGCCTCTGGAAGGCCGTGAAGCAAAGCCATCGCAGCGGCGATGTTCTGGCTTGCCCGGGCAAAGTGAGGGAGGGTCCCGTCGTCGATGAGGATAATCTGGTGCACATCATGGGCCATGGCGCGTGCGTGCCCACCGTCTCCGTGACGCTTGATTTCCTCATCGATCTTCCGGTACTCCCGAACAAGCTGTTGTTCGGCGTCATCGATCTCTAGTTTTTGTGCTCTCAGTTGCTCTGTCCTTACGTGGGATGGAGCCACCGCCTTCCCTCCGGTCCTGGCCTCAGGGTTGGCGGTCGGGGTAGTTTCCTCCTCGGAGACGCTTACGACGTTCCCTTCGGGGGTTCCCGCCATGAAGCATTCCCGGGGAGGGTGATGGCTCCCCATGCTGGAGTCAGAGCTAGAGGGTGACTCTGGCTCCTCGGCGAGGAGTTTGTGGAGGGACTTCATGTTGTGTTCAATTACCCCCACGAACTCGCTGTCCACGGGGGGTTGAACCATGCGTAGTGCCATGAGGTGGCAATCGGTCGCCGCGGCGTTGCGGAGACCGAACGAAAGCGTTGTCGGGGCGCTTCACACGTGGCGCTCTGGAGAGAGGTGCCCCTCTCTGAAAGGTCGTGCCACGTCGTTGTCGTTGGAAAGGGCGAGGCGACGCTGGTTCTCGCTGGACTGTTGGGGTCCAAGGGAGATGCCGAGCCGGCGCCCACACTTCTTGTGGTCGAGGACGATGGAGGGGAGAGATGGGATGGCGGTCTGCGCCTGTACCAACTCTCCTTCCACCGTGAGGATGAAATCTAGGCTCCCGAAGCGCACGTGTGCACCTGGGACCCAGCTGATGTTGTGGTTAGCCATCCGAGGCCTGGTTTGGAATGCGCAAAGGCCCCTACTTGGCGCACCAACTGTCGGTGTTTCGAACAAGCACCGGCTAGTGAATTTATAATTATGCGCGTTAGGCCTAGATGGTGCGCTAAAGGACACAAGGTTTATACTGGTTCGGGCTGAATGTCCCTACGTCCAGTCTGTTGCTGCTCGTGTTATTAGCGCTGAAAGCGGTTCGTAGTAGGGGGTACAAACGGTCGAGAGAGGGACGGGTCCCAGATCTCTGATGGAGGGGTCGAAAGGATGTCAAGGGCCTGGCGGCGGCTTGGCTGTGTGTGTGGAACTAAGCGCTCTATGAGCTCGTCTGTATGTGGGTTGTTCGTTTTTAGTCGATCTCCTTTAGCGGGGTGCCCTGCCCCTCCTTTTATAGACCAAGGGGAGCGGGGCTTACATGGCGGAGGAAGGATAAAGAACCAAAGACCAAGAAGGTCCCATGAAAGCGCCGAGTCTTCTTCTTCCTCCGGGCCAGCCCTCCCCCTGACACAGCCGAACAGTGTCAGAGGGGGCGCGTTCGCCGGGTATGCGTGCGTTGACGACATCATGCCCTGGAAGTGGTCACGTCCCATCCCGTCCTTGCGGGTGGCGTGTCGGACGGGGGTGTCAGCTTGCGACACTGTGGGGGGGGGGGAGGTGAACGGTGCGGTGCCCGTACGCCTGTCACTATAGGAACGTGAGTCTTATAGCGGCGTTTGTGTCAGGCTCCGTGCCCGAGGGTTGAAGGCGGCGCCCACAATACTGTAGGCCAAAAAACCTGGCGCCTACAGCACTGTTTAGGCTCTGTCAGGCCTGGCAGGGCCTAAAGCACCTGTCCCGTCGTACCTTGATGGTACTTGTTAGTGGCATAGGGTATGGTCCCTGCTGCCGCGGTTTGACTCTAACATCCCGTCTTACCCTGTTCCTGTCATCATGGAGGGGCAAGGCGAGGGCATCAGGTGAGGCGATGTTCAGCCCTTGTTGGCCAGACGAGCGAGGCCAGCCCTCGGTCGTTGGACGGGGCGGAGTCCATCCTCGGGGGTCTGGCGAGGCGGAGTCTGGCCCTCAGGGGTCAGGCGAGGCGGAGTCGAGCCCCCGGGGGTCGGGCGAGGCAGAGTCTGGCCCTCAGGGGTCGGGCGAGGCGGAGTCGGCCCCCGAGGATCAGACGAGGTGGAACCTGGCCCTTGAGGGTCGGGCGAGGTGGAATCGATCTCCCTGGCCTTGGGCGAGAGGTGTCGTTGCGCTCCTGTTAGATTGGAAGTGTCAACGGTGTTTATCAATTCTCCCTCATTGGGTACCCCAGTATTAGGTTCCTGACATTATTTTTCTATGACTGTTGGTGTCGGAAGTCCTGACGTAAGCCAGAACTCCCGACCGTCGGAAGTCACGACTCATGCCGGAAGTTCTGACTCCCAGTCACTTAACCTGCGCGGTGACTGTGGACGTCGGAAGTCCCGACGTGAGTCGGAACTCCCGACAGTCAAAAGTCTTGACCCAAGCCGGGAGTCCCGACATCAGTGGTTCTGCTGGCCGGCTGTCTGCGCACGTCGGAACTCCCGACGTACTTCAGAAGTTCCGACCGTCGGAACTCCCGACCCATGTCGGGAGTCCCGACACCTGAAGCTATGCTGGCTGGTTGTTTAACTACGCACGTCGGAAGTCTCGACGTTTGTCGGGAGTTCCGACATTGACTTGCACACGTGGACTTCTGCCCCTGTGTGAACAATGCTTTCTGTTAACGTCGGAAGTCCCGAGATCTACGTCGGAACTTCCGACGTAGATCTGAATGGTTAGATTTCTACTAAGAGTATAAATACCCCTCTTTTCACTTCTAACCATTACGGACTCATTCACAGCTGACCTAACTTCGTCCCAACAGCTCCCAAGCAAGAAAGGCACCCTTCTCCTCCCTCCTTTGCTCCAATTTTCGATTCCCTTACGGTTTTGAGTGAAAGGAGAGTGGATTAAGTGAGAGAATCACTTTGGAAAGGTTGAGCATTTGATTTCTTTGTCAAGCCGGTTGATTTTGCATCTATTACTTTTGGGGCTTTGCCCCTAGCCGGCTGGGCGTTTGCCCAAGAGCTTCCATCTTGTGGAAGAGTCTTGGAAAGTTTGTATTACCCTTTGATTTCTTAGTGACAAGCTCAAGTGACCTTTGTGGTCGCTTTGAGAGAGGCAAGGGGGTGGAATAGACTCCAACCTTTGTGGTCACCTCAACAACGAGGACGTACAAGCTCCTTTGTGGGGTTGCCGAACCTCGAGATAAATCTTTGTGTCCCATGTGCTTGTTGTTGTGATTGCTAGAGACTACTTGTATTTGTTTGTCTCTCTCTTGAACTTCATTTTAGGGTTTGGACTCGATCTACGGTTTGGAGGCATTACGGCATCAAGAGAGTGACCCAACATCTTCACCAAACCACTAGGAAGTGGGGTTGTAAGATTATTTATTCGCAAAGTTAAATTTGGCACTGCTTTTGTAGTTCCCGTTGGTGTCGGGACTGCTGACGTTTGTGCTAGAACTTCTGACGACGTCGGGAGTTCTGACCCAAACGCCGGGACTTCCGACATTGACTGACAAATTTGAACTTAGCATTTGCAGTTAATTTTTAGATACGCCTATTCACCCCCCTCTAGGCATTATTAGATCCTTTCAAGAGGTTATGAGAGCCTTCTTGAGCTCCATGGCCAGGCCATGTCACACTGTCAGCAGTGTGGCACCATGGAACCAACGGCTAGCTGTTTGTTTATGACTTAATAGCTAAGATGATGTTTATATATTTTTGAAGATGAAGTGATGGTCGCCTTTATTTCTTTTAACTACCATACACGGGTGGTATAATCAAACGGGTGATTGTTTATGTCATGGTGAAAGCATCTAGTAATTAGTTTTTTTAGAGTTTTAGGACCATATGGTCCCCAGCCTGCCCTAGGGTCCGCCGCCTGCTGCCCCTGCCATAGCCGGCGACCGGGGTGGGGTAGTGCGGGGCAGCGGTGTGGCCTAGGACCTGTCGGCCGGAGGATGGCGTGGGAGTAGCAGTTGGGGTCGGGTGATAGAGAAGACTACGGGCGGCGTGGTGGATTGGGTGAAGAAGAGGATAATGTAGGGGTGAGAGGGGGCATTTTGGACATCTTCACTGGCGGTCCCACATGTCAGGGCTTCCAAACTGTGAAAACCAAACGGATTGAAGATGGAATGGCGTGGACGACAAAAGAGTTTAGCTCGATGGCACCTGGGTGCGCTCGAACTTTTTAGTGGCCTGTAGGTAACGATCATCTTTTATTATGGCACATAGGTAAAACCCTCTATAATGAAATGGGTGATTGTTTATGTCATGGTGAAAGCATTTAATAATTAGCTTTTGCACTGGCATACATGATCTAAAGCTCCATGGTGATGTACAGTGCTATTTTCTACTAGCATATATGTAGATTTGTATTTGGCAATTCTTGCAAAATATCATAAGTTTTGATGTGCCTTAAGAATCTATTTTTGATGATATTTGTGGTGAAATATATGCATTGAAGGTCAAAAATATGGGCCAGGAGATATTGTATGGGAACAAAGAAAGCTATGAGTAAATGACATGCTGAGCACATGCCATTTTACAGCTCATGAATCCTGATAGCCAGGCTTTAAGTTCCATCTTTGGTCTTTCTCCACATGTCAACTCTGCTGTTCGCTTTCAGATTTCGCTGGGATTCCGTAAAGAGGGCTGGACTGGAGGCATGATTTCAACATTCAGTTAAGCTGGTGTCCGGAATGGTAGTTGTGCTTGTGCATGGCTTTTGCATTTTGCACTTGTGCCACATGCAGGAACCTCTCAGATTATTTTCGAACGAACAATCTCTCAGATTTGAAGTCAGAGTTCTACAGAAGAAACTCAGTTGCCACTTAATGTAAGTCCTCACAATTTTCATAAACCAATTATCTCTGTCTCTGAAGCGAAACATAGGTTCAGAACAAGAATCATGTCTCTCTATTTTCTTATATTTATAACACCTTACTTGATCATTTGCTGGATCAGAAGGCCCTGAATAACACTTACCTAGTTAATATCTTTGCTCTACTACCTACACTACAATGAACAGCAACTAAACAACAATCTGCTGTCTGGCTCCAACAATCGGCGCCATGTGGCTGGCACAGTGGCATGACATCGCCATGGTGCTAAGGAACGCCTGCTCTAGCTCAGCAGAGGCTCCTCTCCTGAGCAAACACATGGCGTACTCCATGACCGCTATGTCGCAGGGCAGCGTGATCTTGCCATCGGCGCCCGTGAAGTCGAACTCCTCCTGTGGCATTTGCAGGAGCTCCCCGAAGACTGGGGGTGTAACAGAACCGACCAATTATACGAAATTAAGTAAGAAAATCACCCGCCAGAGCAGACGATTTAGCAAACTTAAGCCCGTATAACCCGGTAGTCCGTGAAATCCCGAAGGATTTCAAACCAACTCACATACCAGCCAAGATCGTAATAAGTTTAGCGGTCACCATCACATATTACATAAAAGTTCGTATCATAGATACATCAGAGTTTAAACATAGTTATTACAAAGCGAGTTCAAATAGAAGTAGCGGAAGCCATTTGTTCAAAACCACACACACTCACACGGGGTTGAAATACAGTGCCAGCTAATGATCATCTCCAACAAAAGCATCAGACGAGACGTAAGGAATGACCATGCCCATGGTCCTAAGCATCACCCATCGCAGGATAAAGGCAGTTGATACAGTAGTCGTAATACATCTGCCCATCTGCAACAAGTGGGAATAAAACCCTGAGTACGACAAGGTACTCAGCTAGACTTACCCAACATAACCAAAAATAAAGTGACACCAAGGATTATGAAGGGCTTTATAGTAGGGTAGCTGACTCATTTGCAAAAAGAGGCATTTTTAGCATTTCAATAACCTTTCCAAAAGCATTATTGTTAAGTTAATTATTATTAACCTGTCGACTAGATTTGCACCTATACTAGAGCAAACATGTGATTAAGCAATTAATGATAACCAATGATCATTAACTTCCATAATGTCATATTCATTATAACTGTCCAAGTGTTCCATAATCATTACTACGATGAAGTAACTCAGGTCAAGTGCTCACTATCCAGGAGCGATGGCGATTCGAATCGATTCCTAACCAGCTGGTGATTTATTCCTTACACAAACCTCACTCACCCGCTAAAGTGAGGTATCGGTCACTGAGTCAACTATCCAGGAATCTCGAGTTTGCTAGGAACCACATGTACCCGGGGGCCGACCGACTGCCCTTTGGTCTTATCATCGCGCCCCCGTGTCCTACCACACCTGCTCCGGCACAGTGCGCTGCGGGCAATCTACTCGGCCTGAATAATCTCCCAGCTTCGCGGTTGAAAGGTACTTTATTCGGCAAGCTAAATGTAAGGCATGCGTTCAACATGACCTGAGGCCCAACAACGGTCGGTCCTTAATCGACACAGACGGAAAGCACTACAGTCCAAAACTATGTAAGTCTCCGTCCGGTCTCAGCTTCATTTAACACTTAGTTATACCATGACTACATAGTTCTCCAAGCAGATCCAGGTAACCACCTATAGCTTGCAGGTGACAGGAAATCACCCGACTTCTACCGGTCTAAGCCAGCTAAGCATTGACTCGATTGCGGATACCAGGGTAACAAGGATATAGTATAACAAAGGTAAAGAAGGTATAATGCAGCAACGGTTGCAAACAACTCCTGAACGTAATGCATCAATTAAAGTAAAGCATTCAATTAATAATTGCAAACCGGGGAGAAAAATGCTCCGGGGCTTGCCTCTCTCGAAGGAGCTCAGGCGGTGATCGGGGCACTCCGAAAGTTCCTCAACGTCCTCCTCGTCTACTTTGGTCACTTCCTGCGGCTGCACCTTGAGCTGCTCCTCGGGCTCCTCGGGTATGATGACTGGGCTCTCGGTTTGCGATCCTGTATGATGCATGTGCGTAAGTGCTTATGCAAAAGGTGCATCGGATGAAATGAGCACAATGGATATGCTTGAATGCACGGTAGTCAACATCATCCAAGAACATGTACTACAAGCACATGTCATCTACTGCATTCTCTTCAACTACTAATATGCTAAGTCAACACATCTCATTAAATGCTTCAAAGATACACCAAAGCTTCACTAATTTCTTAATCATGCATAAAGCAACATTTGATTAAACCCTAATTAATAATAGGTTTGAATAGCAACATCTATTTTTATAGCTTAGAAAAATCTTAGAAAATTATCATAGCACAGTACTACACTAAGTAGTCTACCATTAAATTTTTATGGCATTCGGATAAGTGGAATAGCCTACACAAAAATGACAAGCTATGGCATAATTGTGAACATGAAAATACTTTGTACCGTGAAAAGTGTCAAACAACAGATGTAATATTTTTCCTATGTTCTACACAGCAAATAATCACTGTACAAAAATTATCACATGCATGTTTTATACAAATTTTGCTCTCTAGCAAAAATAACAAAAATCAGCCATTAAAGGCACTTGAACTACACCTCATAATTTTTCTACAGAACATGCATGGCATATATTTTTCCTAGGAAGTACATTACACAAGAAGAATAACACACTTGGAAGCATATTTTTCTGAAACATTAGGATTTACTAAACAATTTACAAGATATCAGCAATATCAAGAATTAAATAAAGCTCTACATTAAAGGATCTCAAAACTGACATGCAATATTTTTATCCAGTAGATCTGGTGACAAGAAACACCACAAAATTTGTTTCATTCGACTTGGACCAAAAATGACCAAGATATGGTTTTTCCAAGCTTTAAATCAAATCTGAAAAATCATTTCGAAAACAAAATCGAACCCTAACGGCTATGCGTACCCGGCGCTGTACACAGATCCGAAACAAAACGCTAGGTGCACCCGGTGTTGTGCACCCGGACCTATTCGCACCGTCAGCACTGACAGGTGGGACCTAGCGGTCAGCCGGCCCCACGCGTCAGCGAGACAGAACAGAGGAGGCGGCTCGCGACGGCGCGGCAACGGTGAAGCTCGCCGACGGCGGCTTCTCCGGTGACGGCGGCGATACTACAAGCATGGCTACTACATCCCGAACACATTGAGCTAACTAATTGGGCTTATGACCGAAGCTAGCGACCACGACGGTGGCAATGGCGTAGTGGCGGTGCGGGATGACGGTGAGACACCGGAGGCAACCGTGATGACCCAATCTAGGGCTCGACCATGCTTCCACGAGCTACTGCGAACCTATTGCGCACTCTATCAAGAAATGTGGTGGTCTGAGGTGACCGGGCCACGGTGACGTACCATGGCGGCGAAAGATCGGCGAGGTCCGCATGGGGCACGACGGCTCGCTGGGCTACTTTAGTGAGCAAAAGCCGGTGAGGTGAGGCGGTGGGTCACGGAGGAGCGGCTGTGATGGTGAACGATCAATGCGGGCGAGCTGGTGCGGGCAATGCCGATGGCGACACGGCGGTGGTCTGCGGCGGCTGCTGCGTTGCTACGAAGGCGAAGGGTGGAGCAGGGAACCGAATGAGGCGCTGGGATGGGGCGGGCGCATGGGGGTTCAAGTCGTGGCCAGCAGTGCCAGGACGGCCGCGGCGCGTGGCCGCGCGGTCAGGAGTCTGGCGACGGGTGGCGCCACGCGGCGGTAAGCTTCTGCCGGCGTCAGGACGCAAGCGCGTGAGTGCGGGCGAGCGGGAGGCGCGGCGTGGGCCTAGGCCGGCAAAGCGACTGCTGGACCAGGGCGAAGCGCGCGGTGCTGTGGGCCGAGTCCGCAAGCGGGCTAGAAGGGAGGCGGCGGCCTGTTAAGCGAAAATGAAAAAAAAAAATCTTTTTATTTCTCAAATAAACAGAACTCAAATTCCATTTTGAGCCATTTAAAAGCATTTTCACAAATTGGTGTAAAAATAAAATTTGTTCCATTTTTCAAGATCTACAACTTTGCTTTTATGACCAAAGTCAAATTCCAAATAGATTTTGAATTACAGAATTAAAATCAATATTAATTCAAAACCCAATTTTTGAAGAATTGTTTTTAAAAGCATAATTTGGCAAAATTTTGAATATAAACTTTGCTTCGAAATGAATTCTAATTACTTCTAAGTGGTCTAAGTGATCAACCAAGGTACACACATGGCAAAACAAACATAGCATCCAATCTATTAAAACAAGACTATACACATACATGTTTCATTAATATATTTTAATTCTATATTTCATGTCATGCTTATGAATGCATAATAATGATTATGATCATGATTTGCAAAATATTAATGCATACTTAACACCGAGGTGTTACAGCCCTCCCCCCTTATAAAAATCTCATCCCGAGATTTGGGTTACGAACCATTTGTTATAAAAATCTTCATAAGCTTTTTGTAGATATTCTCCTGTTTCCCAAGTTGCATCTCCCTCATCATGATGATTCCACTGTATTTTGTATGTTTTCACCACACTATTCTGAGTAGCACGTTCTTTAGTGTCTAACACATGGACCGGTTGCTCACGATACACCAAATCTGATTTGAGTTGGATGCCTCGAGGTTCTATTCTTTCCTCCGGAACACGCAAACACTTCTTGAGATGTGATACATGGAAAACTGGGAAGACGGTACTCATTGTCTCAGGTAACTCTAACTTATAAGCTACTGGACCTCTTCTTTCCAATATCTTGTATGGTCCTACGAATCTAGTGGCAAGCTTTCTTCGGACTCCAAACCGTTTCTTCTTCATTGGCGTGACCTTCAAATAAACATAGTCACCAACTTCAAACACAAGGGGTCTCCTTCTGTCTGCATAACTTTTTTGACGCGATTGTGCCGCCTTCATATTTTGTTGGATAATATGAACTTTCTTCTCGGTCTCTTCTACAAAGTCAATGCCATAATACCTTCTATCTCTTGGCTCGACCCAATTCAGTGGTGTTCTACATTTTCTGCCATACAAAGCTTCGAATGGGGCCATCTTGATGCTTTCTTGATAACTATTATTGTAAGCAAACTCAGCTAATGGTAACCATGACTCCCATGATCCCCTAGAAGACAACACACAGGCTCTTAACATATCCTCTAGAACAGCATTCACTCGTTCAGTCTGACCATCTGTCTGAGGATGATAAGCGGTACTATGAATCAAACTAGTTCCCAAGCCTTTGTGTAAATGTTCCCAAAAGTGAGCCGTGAACTGTGGCCCTCTATCAGATACTATAGTCTTTGGTATACCATGCAACCTCACAATTTTTGCAATATACTTCTCGGCATATTGAGGTGGTCGATAATCTATCTTGACAG